GCCTGGCACAAGCTTCGAAAGCGATGGCCTTGAGTGATAACTTTCATGGATGCGGTCTCGCAATTGTGCTACTTGAGTCTTTTTGGCTCACCGGAATTTCGGCAAAATAACAATCCCTGAACGACAATCCTGATCTCAACCATGGTTTTCAGACCCTCCGCCCCTTGACCTGAAAAGGGGGTTCTTCTATATTCGGGTGCCGCTGTGTGCCCTCGCGCGGCCCGATCTTTCAAGTACATTTACATCTTGAAGACATACAGCGCAGCTGACGTCTACAGAACAAAGCCTACGAAGGCCTAAACATAACCTACATACGCCCCCGCACCCAAAACCTGACCCCTGCCCCACTTTGCCATCGCTCTGAAAGATTGAGGGCCACCTTGCGCGTGATTAGTTCTACCTTGTCAGTCTGGAAGTTCCCAAACCAGAGTGTACTCGCATCGATTTTGTTTGCCCTTGTGCTTTGCCCTTGCGTTCACTTGATCGCTGCAGGGCTTTCAGGGTGTCCTGAGCCAGAACAACCCTGAGGCGAATAATTCTCAACACTTACGGGTAACCGCTTGTTGGGCGCGGGCAGTCCCAACACATTGATTAGACTTCGCGCGCCTGAATACAACTTTATGTACGCAGGAACTGTAGGGTCTATTCGAGGATTGTTTTTTGAACGGGGGAAGCATACCAAGTCAACCGTTTCGGCCATTGCCAAACACGTGGTTGAACGATTTACCCTGTTCCATTTCCATGCCCTATCTCTGTTGCTCCCTGCTTGCGTTCCTATTCCCTGAAAAGAAGCAACTCCGCCCCGCCCTTCCCTTTCAATGGTAGCTTCAGCATGCCTAGGAGACGCAAAAAGGAAATGCAAAGAAGATAAAAGACCCTTCGATACCTTCTTGCTGTCTTCCTGTTTTTCTGCAACTCATGTGAGTAGAGGGAAAAGGCGTGAAAAGACAAACAAGGGAATTGGAGAAGATGAGGAAACAAAAAAGAAAGCCAGAGAGAGACAGAGAGAGAGAGTGTGTGATAAAAACAATAAAGAAGCAAGCAAACAAGAGGAACAGAGAGAGGGCGGCAAAGTGACTAGGGGCCGCCCTGCATTCTGACTAGGCCAACCGAGCCTGCTCATGATTGGCATCTTCCCCTTTGATGTCTGTATCTCTACAATTCGCTGCTTCTCTGTGCTTCTTCTGCCCAGCGAAGGGAGACCCCGGCGCGACAAGCATGCACATCGTAGGTGCAGCCTCCTCCCCCCCCCCCCCGCCCCACAAGATTAGACACGGCTGTATGTCATGTGGTGACTCTGAAAATGTCTGAAAAGCCTGAAACGGCGAACCGATGTTGAACCACTTGTAGTCTACATCGTCGAGAACAGACCGGGTCGCAAACAAGTGATCAACAAATGCATGGCGTCAATCACCAAATCTAGTTTCAGATTCTTGCCCGCTCTGTTGTCCTTCATTCCCTCCTGCCTACTGTTCCCATCCTCCTCCGCGTCTTTTCGTCCGCACTAGACTACTTAGCTGATCCCTTCTGCTGATACGATTGTCCCGGCTAATTTCGCGAGCCATGTCCATAGACTTATCAGCAAAACACGACCGCGCGGAGAGCACATGAAAGGTTTCACAAGATGCCTCTAAATCCTTCGCAACGACAGAAGCCTGTGGTACTTTAGCCTCCGCCCGCGGCTGGCACCTGAGGGCTCACCGTCCGTGGCCCTGTGGACTATCCCTGGACCCAAAGTGCAAAGATCCGATCTTCTTATATTCTTCGACGATTCTTCGACTCACTGTGGTACAGAGTCATGCTCACATTGCTCACTCTACTAGCGCAGCTGCGCCATGCTGCGCAGCCCTGCCTGACGATGGCTTCGGCACCACCAATGCTTGCAGCCTCACTCCTGCTTGGAATCCAAACAATGGCATCGAAGTGCGCTGGCTGCAAGGCATTCCTAAGCAAAGTCCGCCTTTGCAGGTTCTTTCCTGCAGCACCTGTCACATCCGTAAAACTTGTGCTCTCGATTTGCCAGAATGTGAGGTGGACGAGATCTCACAAGGAAAATCACAAACAAACCACCATTTCAGACATCATCACCTTCATTCCAGCAGATTCAATGACTGCCGTCGTCGAAAGCCGCTTCTGGGCTTTGGCCTGCAATCGATTGCATCCGTTCTCTGATGTTCTGTGGCATCTGATGTGTGCCTTGCTTGGTGAGGGCTTGCGCTTCGAACGCTCCGCCTGACTCGCTGACACAACACTACTGACCACGAAGCACAAAAGCACTTTGTTGCTCCAGGGCCTTCTTCTTGGCCTGCTCTGGCTCTGACGGTTTGGTGCTGCAGAACTTCAGCAGGTCCTGGATGCGCACTGAACCTTGGAAGCTCGGGAGCCCGCACGGCTGACTATAGCAGACGATGTCACTGCGTCTGACCGCTTGACACACATCAAGGCTGAGGGACTGCGCGGGATCAACAAACAGATTTTTAAGAACAACAACCTTTCCTATCTGAAAACGGATCGAAAACAAGCACTGAATAAGGGAGCTACCGCCATCAGGCAAGCTTGTCCGGCTTAGGGTGGCAGGGCAGGTTCCCGACTAAGAGGCCGGGGTTCGAACGATTCATACGGTACCGAAGCACCGAGTATTTGCAGTAATTCTTCTCGATGGGGGTGCAGCCACCTTCTACCATTTGCGTATGACCGGTGCGGAAGGATGCATAAGGGCATTTGCAGCCATTGCTTTCGACGACATGCTCTGAAAAGCCAGCTTGGCGCAAAAAGGCCAGGGGGCCGCAGCCCTCATTGCCAAACACCAAGCTCTGTTCGTAGGATGGTTTCGAATGAGTACTGTATCGACTCGTTGAGTATTTGCAGCCTTTGCTTTCGACAGCATGATGCTGAAAAGCGTGCTTGCCCGGTGGAAAAAAAACCGGGAGGGGAGGGTTTGGGGCCTTCCTTTCGTCCTTCCATTCTTCCTCCCCTCCCTTCCTTCCCGCCCTCCTTCCTTTCATCCTTTCCATTCTTCCCTGTCTCCTTGGTCCTGCCTACCTTTCAAATCGTTTTTTTGATGTTTAAACAATTGGTTTCAGACCCCCATCCCCTTCTGCAGACTAGTCTCCGTCGTTGGACTCGTCCTGAGCAGGACTCGTGCCAGCATAGCTTGCGCAGCTTTCCATGTGAAGCACATACTTCTGGCAAATGATTCAGGCAGGCTTCCACAGACACAAAAATTTGCCGCTCATCAAGTCCACAAACAAGCGCCAAGTCCAGCCCCACAAGACTGGTGGCCATCCTTGGTCGTGACAAACTGCTAAACGACGTGCAAAAGTACGCTCAATAAATTAGGCAAATTATCGGCTCAGTTGCTTGGCAGGGCCGTCGGCATCTGAGGCCTCGACGAGAACTCCATGGTCGTAATCGTTCCGGCACGGTTCACGTCGAGCACCTTTTGTGCCTTTCAGCTGCGGACCAAAGAACACTTGGCTCTGACAAAAAAGTACAACTCTGCAGAAAGGCCTGCTCCAACCCTCCAAACAGAAACTCGAAAGACTTGCACAAGGCATCGAAGCCCTGCTCGCAATCGCGCTCCTCCTTAGCTGCGACAATACCTCACAAGACAGCAAAAGCTGCAAAAAGCAAAGCCGTCCGATGAAAATCCCAAGGCGCCAGGAAACCATAGAGATTCTCTATCACCTGAGGACGCATATCTTCACTAGCTTCACACAGGCTTTGGGCACTGCATTCCAGCAGACCCTGGGCTGCCCTGTCGCCCTGTCCCACCTGCAAGGACTCAATCTGCCCTGGGCGAGCACCCGATTGCAGCAGCTCCTGAGACTCGCAGCTCAGTGTTTTGAAGTGCTTTGCTGCTTTCGCTATCTTCGTTTCGTCTTCCGCTTCCCTTCTCTCTCACACCTCAAGCCTAAAGGGTCGTGCGGCCTGCTGGAAACGCCGCGCTGCAACCTTTCAAGCCATGTGCCATGTGACAGCTGCGGCTCACCAGCAGACTCTGCCTGGAGACCTAACATGACCGATGGCAGACATGTATGTAGCAACAATCGCTGGGGAGCAGCCCCACAATTAAATCAATTGAGCTACAATGCTGCAATATGCCCTAGCTTCACGAGCTCAAGCTTCGGATATCTTCGGATGTTTTCAGAAGCCTGACACACCCAATACAACCCTGGAGCCTTCAGCTGGTGCCACCTAGGTGGGCTAGGTTCCGAAAATGATGTGATCTCGCCGTTCGCAACTGCCTGCGACAAAGCGGACTCCACAAACCACTACTACATCGACATGCGCCCTCTCAAGATTGCCACATCATTCCACTCCAGCCGGAGCTTGTTTCACGGGACGCGGGATGTCTTGCACTCCTTCTTCCCCATACCTTGCCCTCTCCACTCTTCCAGGCCACCAACGGGGCTGCGGCTGCGGCAGCGGCAGGGGCTGCGGCAGCAGCAGCAGCAGCGGCGGCGGCGGCGGCAGCAGCGGCAGCGGCAGCAGCGGCGGCGGGCGGCAGCGGCGGCAGCGGCAGCAGCAGCAGCGGCGGCGGCGGCGGCAGCAGCAGCAGCAGCAGCAGCCGCCGCCGCAGCAGCCGCAGCAGCCGCAACAACCGCCATAGGCAACGGGCAGGCAGGCAACCGGCAACAACCGGCAACCGCCAACCACCAAACACCACAACCAGCACAGTAACCACAACAACCACAGCAACCGTAACCATGACCACTGCAACAACCACACCAACCGCATCTTCATGATCATCATCTTGATCATGATCATCATCCACATGCACTGGTTTCCCAACAACAGGGCCTTCACCATGAGAGGCAGATCAAGGCGAAATAATAGTCGGACTTCAGCTTCCTGTCCGTGTATTGCACAAGAATTATCGGCTTGTGAAGACCGACTTTCTCTACTCAGCCTTAGATTAACTGGGCGATCGCTGGTGTTCTCACACTGGAACGATCCCAAACAGAACTGGACTCTGACATCAAAGCAGGCTCCTGCATTGCTCTTTGCAGGGCATTTTGCCACTGCGTACGTGGACTCGCCTGGTCATCGGCCTTTGCATTGGGAGAGCCAGCTGTGATCTTGCAAGCTGTTGACCGCCCCGTCCCTGAACGGAAGGCGCAGGAGAAGCCGAAAAAAACCCAGTTCTTCAATGACTCTGTGCACCTGGACGGGGTCAGCTGGAGCATCCAGTCGTGCATGCCGTGCATCGGTGCCGGAATCTGGTCAGGAATTCTATGCAAGCACACAATGCTACACCATGCAGAAGTGCTTTGGGACCAAGCCGAGTCTAACATCCGAACTCGGGACATGGGCTCAAGGCAGATGCTGCAACGAGTCCGATTTGCACCATTGGGAGCTCAGTTGCCCTGTGTTGCCCTGTGTTGCCCTGTGTTGCCCTGTTGCCCTGCTTGCCTGTCAACACTTCTCTGGCCTGGACCCGTTCGACCTCTTTCGACACTTTGCTCGTGGTTGGAATCTGCTGCCACATCGAGGCCTAGCAGGGGCATGTACCCAGTGGAACATGCACATCCAGCCCGACTAGCTGCAAAACGTTGCTCTGGTTCACTGGTGGCCTACATCCTCGACCAGCTCAGCTTCCAAAGTACTGCTACTCGCGGAAGACGAAAGCCGACACCTCCCGTCGAAGTCAGCTGCAAAGAGTTGCAACCATGTGGAACCATTCCCTCTCAGGTCTTTCGAGATCTTTCGAGTTCCGCCTGCTGTTTGCATGTGTCATCTTCGGTGAGAGCCTTTTGCGGAACACGGCACATTCACAAGTTCATGTCGCGTGCTCGATTGGTCCAAGTTTCTGCGGTAGACCGGGCAGCGTCCCCGACTCGCCTTTGCCTTGATGGGGCGGAAAAGTCGGGGGTTGCTGATAGTTTGCCAACCTCGGTGTGGGGTTGTGAGATTTTTCTGCCGCAAGTCCCCTGGACTTTTCGCCAGGTGGCCATTTCTCAAAATGCTACTCATCCAAAACATGTCAGACGAATGGTTTGGGGGGCCGCCTCATGTCAAAGATAACAATGACAACGAAAATCCTAGGTGAGCAAGTTGTGTATTCGCATCTTCAAAACAGGATAGGTTGGAGGTATTCTATAAAAGACGTCTAGGGGTTGACGTTGAGTATCAACAGTCACGCACTAAAGTCGGTACTCAATCCCCCAAAAGGCCAATTTGTCTTCACACTGGGGGAAAGGTTTGGGTTGAGGTTGAAGGGTTGAGGGTAGCAGTTGACCGGCTGTCTGGAAGACGCAGGTTCATGCACATTTTGCCAGCGCCGTACTGGCGCCGTGTTAGCGCCAGCAACCCACTGTCTTTCAGCCCCAAAAAGCGCAAAAGCCATGTTTGGGAAGCCCCGCCAACATGTAGTCCCCAACCGTTACAATGCTAGCTTCGGGCCAGATGCCTGCACGCTTACCTTTCTTTCTGTTCAAACATACCTACCCTGCTGAGACTTCGTGCTAAGCACGAAGCTAGCGCTATGCGAACGCCACGTTGGTGTTTAAGGAGCTGTACCTGGGGGCCGCCTCAGAACGAAGGCATCAAGTTGAGAAACATCATGGTTCGTGTGCCTTTAATTGCCTTCACCACTTGCCGTGATCTGACATGCTGCTGACTGGCTGCCATCGGCACAAGATTTGGGGAACATGCGAGAAGAAAACAGGACACGCCGCACGTGCCTGGAAACTGCAATATGCTATGCCTGTGTCGGCAAGGAGGATTAAGTTCTGCTTTGATTGCTCTAGAAAAGCCGCCCCCTTCTGCGGACAACTTCGTGCTGCATTCAGGGTTGCTTCTCATCGTGGTTCGGGGCTTGTTTGAAACCTGGTTCGTGCTCTTCTTCCCCGTCGTGGGTACAACCTGCCCTTACAACTCGGGAGCGAGAGGCGAATACACTCAAGGATTTAACAATTGAAGAAGTTTTATAAGTGCAAAGAATACAGGTATTTGCTGGGACTTTGAAGCGCAAACCGCAAACCCCATTCCCCCGCGAGCTGAGCCGTATCCCTTCCTGATGGCAACAACATGCAGACAGCTTTGAATACATCATTCAGCATGCGCTAGATGATCTTCGAGAGGAACGGAAGTTGTACTGCAGGCCTCACGGCGTTCACGGAAGTCACTGCCAGCATTTTCGTTCAAAATCCGATGGCGCCATGTCACCGCCAAACCTAAACCCTAAACCCTGGACCCCAAGCCACAAGCCCTAAACCATACAGACACCCTGACCCTATTCAGATGACGCCGATATAAGTTCCGTCTTAGTTTCATTCCAATTTCGATGGTTTGTCACCGCAGACCCTCAACCCTGGACTCGAAAACAGACTTATACCGATGTACACCTGACCCTGGTTGGACTTTGCTTTGTTTAACTCAGTCATCACTTCGATGTAGTTTCGATGGTGTGATTTCACCCTGTAACCTCAACCCTAAACCTAAACTCTGTCACCAAAGCCCAAATCCTATTGGGATTTCGAGGATTACTTTGGGTCTAAATTCAGTACAGTTTCTATGGTGAGATTGCACCGAAAACCTTGAACCATTCGAATTTCGCGGATTTTGCTCTGGACTCCAAGCCCTAAGCCAGACATACCCGGATCTGGTGAAAGCAAAGATCCTGCCCTGTCCCTGAAATCACATGGTGCAGCGATGGCAGGGAGCTTTGCACCGCCACTCGTGGAGATTAGTCCCAGTGTGATGCCCACATCCCAGCAGCAGCTCTCGGTATGTCTTCGAACTGTGTAGGCTGTGTCTCGCGGCCAGGCTCTTTCTCGCTGTCAGACAGACCTTCAGTGTTCCCGCCCAACAAGGGTAGGGACACCTCCATGGCCACGTCTGTTGGGTTGGTGGTTCAGGGAGGCTTTATACCCCTAAAACTATCCTGAAGCCTTAAAAAAAAACTAAACACAAAGAGATATATACATGTATGTACATATTATTCTATATGTTATACATACGGGCACTGTAATGTATCCTGATTGGCTACTAGGAAGAGTGGCTCGGGCGCAGCCACTCTTGAGCTTGTTTGCATTAATACTCTGCGGCGATGCGGGGGGTAGGAGACCTAGGCCAAGAACCCAGGCGAGGAGTAAGAGGAGTACAGGAGACCTGTGAAGGGAGTTAAAATCGCACAACCACCATCAACTCATATACACCACAAAACAAGCCCTCCACAGGGAAAGGTGCACAGGTGCGGATGCTACGGCTCTAAATGCATAAACATGATCTTTTCTGCTTCAAAGGCACGTAATGAGGGTTCCGATGCCGACTTCCACATCTCCAAGCTGGCACCAGAAGCGCGCTGCAGCTGTTTCCTCTTCAAAACAGGAATGTGGAGCTTCTTTTGAGTGCAGCTCAAGTGCAGGGATAACTCCTGTACCACTCTTTTCTGCCACCCACTCCCATGGTTGAAGCTGCTGGCGAGCCATGCAGCATCCTGAAGATCGATCCAGGCAGGGGATGGCAATCGCAAAAAGATGTAGTCCGAATTGAGATCTAGGGCATGTCAGGCTTTGTAAGGCATCATTGTCCACGTCTGGCCTGCGGCGCCATGCCAGGCCGCTGCCAGCCGGCTCGATGTCAAGCAAGATATTGGTGACATGTGCCATCTCAATCCGAGCACGCCATTGGAGCCCTACAGCAACCGTTTCATAAAAGAGAGTCTTTAGCACGATGAACTGAAAGTCGGTCCCTTTGCAGATTCGTTCATGGCTGTTTTAGCAATCCCCAGACCTCCCTCTGCTATTTTTACAGCTGCCGACTGACATTGCATTGTTTACATTCATATTCACCTCTTTGTCGAGAAGGCAGCCGCGTATATGTCACAAGGCACCACACGGTCTGTCGTGGCACAGCATTTGATCTGGCTTGGTTAGACACGTGCGATCTGGGTTCGCTCTTTCTGCTGCCTTGTCTTGGTCATCTGAGTTTGTGCAGCACGCCTTTACACAAGCATGCGAATCCATGCGTAAGCTTGTCTCAGCAAACTACGTCGCTGCACGGTGGTGCTCCGCAGCACTCTTGACGACTTGATGGAGGTTTGTTTATTTTGAGATGCCAACATGTGCCAAGGCTGCCGCAAACACCTTGTTCAAGTCATGCTCGCAACCTCTCGGGCGGCGAGTGACCTGCTTTTGTGCATTGCCGCTTTCTGCTGTACATTGCCAACAGGGGGTCTTAGAGACCAAGACTGCACAGGTGAGTACCAACAAGCCCAACCGAAGGCACCTGATGGTAGTATGATGGTAGTCACCTAGAAGTCCAGCCTGCCTGCTTATCCTATGGTTTCTATTGGTTTCTCACCTGTGCTGAAGCGTTGGGAATTGATGGGAACTGAGAGCATCAGCGAAAGTTGCTGATCCCAGCGCTGCACAACAAACTGGAGCGGAGACCTGCAGAGACCTGCCTGGCAACTCCGGCACCTCTGCGCTTCCTTCGTTTGTTGCATTTTGGTCTCGATCGAAAAATGCTCAAAGAGAAGAGGCGAGATAAAGCCTGATTGAAGAAGTACTGAGGAATTGCCGTTTCTCCCGGGTACAGTATGCATACCTAATTCCTAATCCTAGTATCGACATCTCTGCCTCCAGAGTCTCACGGAAAGCATGGAGCTGGACATGGTTGGACTTAGCAGGTGACCAATGTCCGAAATCGCTCAAGTGCTGTAAATGCGCTGAGCGAGGAAAACTAATCCTGTCCGGAGTTCGAAAGACCCAGGCTCTGCCTTTGAACAGCGAAGGCATGGAACAAGCCTGTGCTCATGCTGCATTTGCTCTTCTTTTCAATATGTATCATAACAATACGAGAGCGACTGCAACTCTAAGGCAGAGCTCAAGGTTGGAAAAGAACTTCTCGAGATTCCCCTTCGGGAGTGTTTGCCGTGTGCTTCCGTTGAGACGAAAGCCGCATCGGTGTCGAACTAGGTGGAACGCAGGACACGCGGCATGTGGTCAACAAACGTCAGTGAGCAAAATGAAGGACATCTTAAGCGATGGAA